AGCTTTAAAAAAGTGATTATTCTTCAGTATCATCATTAGCATAATCAACGCATCATATAATCATACCTTTAGGGATGGTTCTGAGAGTTTCGCTGTCATAGCTTACTCATATATTTTTGGTTTTTGACGCAAAGAAGGTGGAGTATGTTTGATACTGGAGAAATAAGCTTAAAAAAGTTAATATTCCTCAGTATCATAGTCATTATATAACCTTGTACTTAGAGATACTTTTAGCAGTCTTGCTTTTACAGCTTCCTTAGACGGCTTTTGACACAAAGAATATAAAGTAAGTTCGATGCTGGAAAAATAAGCTTTAAAAAAGTTAATATTCTCCAGTATCATCAATGTCATAATCAATGTAATCCATACTCGTGTCTTTGGAGACAGTATAATTGAAAGCTCTGCTCTGATAGCGTTCCAAGACATTTTTGGTCTTAAAAAATGTTAATATTCATCGGTATCGTCAGTATCATAATCAACGTATAATCGTGTCTTTTGGGATAGTTTCAGAAGTTTTGCTTTTACGGCTTTCTTAGACATTTTTGGTTTTCGACGCAAAAAAAAGTTAGATGAAGTACTTTCCATACAAATAGGATAAACTTCAGTATCTTCATTCATCGGAGATGAAAGTTTGCGAAATAATGGAGGGCTTCCCGAGCAGTTCGAAGTATAATTGCTGCCTTCACTTTCTGCATAGGAAACTGACTTCTCGCTGAATGTTTTAGGTGAGTAACTTATATTAAGAATGATGGACTCGTTTTCACTTTCCGATTCATCTTCTATACTATGTCTTATATTCATAAGATGCATATTATTCGCACTCACGCTTTTTCGATCTTCCCCTGCTTGAAGAATTTTTCGATGAGTTTCGGTTTCATAATCATTCTCTGCTGCCTTAATACTAACTTCATAATCCTCATTAGAATTAATTTTACCATCCATCGCAGTGATAACAAGGTTTTCATACTGACCAAAACGAACACTATTTTCTTTTGCAGACAAAAAACTTTTCTCAGCTCTACAACAGTAATCATCCCGATCATCTTCTTTAAAGACCAAAGTGTTTAGTAAAAAATTGGTTTTGAAATTTTTTATACCACTTTTCCCTGCACCATCCAAAGGGAACGTAGGATCCTCCAGATTTCCAAATAATACCGCATTTTCTTCCAAATTTGAAATAACAGTATTACGAGGTAGATCACATAACTGGTCTAATTTGCTTTCATTAACAAACGTATCTCCAACTCTTGCGTTATCTTTATTATTTCTTTCATTAATATATGCACAGTTTTTCTGAGTAAAATACTCCAAGTTTCGCTTTTCATTAGCAAAGTAAATTGTATAATTTTCAGCATTAAAATTGCGTATGCGGTCAGGGACGCTGCAAGTTATCGCATTTTCATTTTGCGAAGTACCGCCATCATCATTTGTTAAACATTTTGAAGGAATGCTATCAGCATCAGGTAAAAAACAGTTGCTATCACTGTCAGACATTTTGAGAGGGGTATATTTAACATAATTATACGGAAGTTTTTCGTATCTTCCAAGCTGAGGTATTGAAATTATTTTCTTTGCTTGTTCTCTCTTTCTCTTAAAAAAACCGTATATAATTATACATAAGATAATGAATATTAGAACGGATGCAATTGGTAATGCGTATACTAGAGAGGAAATATGACGTGGAAGTTCAGTTTGCTTTCTAGAAAGCTCATTATTAGTTGGTTTAGAAGGGAGAATAGAATTGGGCGCTGTTTGAACCATGTTTACATCAAAAGTTTGCACAGGTTTAGGATAGCTTTCAGTAGAATCGTCAGAATTGCGAAAAATAGTTTTCTGTCCATTTGGATTCAAGAAATTAGATCTTGTGTCAAAAATAGTTTTCTGATTGGTGATTTTAGTCCGATATTTCTCAGACATAGTTAGATTTTGACCTTCTTTAATATCAGTGTTTTTGGCTTGTAAACTTGTGTTTGTACTCATATGCAACGGACCCATACTGGATTCTTGCTGATCAACTGCTCTAACAAATATATCTGTAGGTAAAGTTGAGGCCACTGTCTGGAGAGTTTTCTTCGTGTTAAATACTTTTGTAGTACTCGAAAGATTTTTACTCAAGCCCATAAAATAAGTAACAGGAAAATTACTTTTACTTCTGTTATTGAAAATCGATCTTATCCTATAATAGTCACTGCTAATATTTGACACTGGCATCACAAAGGGCTTTTCAGCGGCAACATTTTTCAATTCAGAATTTTCATCTACGGTTGAAGGGTATTTAAATAGTGAGTCTTTTGAACTTGTCTGAAACTCGAACTTTTCGTTTACGGTTTTATAGAATTTTGGTGACTTTCTATTTCCAATACTTTCGAATTCACGAATTTCCTTGTTTGAAAACTCTGTCACCAATGATGGCCCGATATTTAGTTCTTCATCCTCAATGATTTCCTTTTTAATAAAATTTTGTGGCTTTACCGAATTCAGATGGGGTCTTTTGAGAGCAATTTTTTTCCATATATTCTCTTTTTGTGCAGTCACAGGCGGCTTGGTTAATGGTTCTTTCACACGCATCTGAAACTCAAGCTTTTCGTTTACGGAATCATGAGATTTGTTCATCGACTCTTTACTTATAATGTCCTTGTAACTGTGAATTTTGTTGTAAAAAAAAGGAATCTTTGAAGATGACTTAGCTTTTAATCTATTAACTGCAATATTTCCTTTTTTAATAAAATCGTATGGTTTCACAAAGCTTATACGATACCTTCTAAGAGCAGTATTTTTCAATCCAGGTATTTTAGATTTGTTCAATTTCATCGTTGACCTTTTTCTTCTGATTTTAAATCCAAGATTTTGCTCCTTAGAGGCATGGAATTTGTTTAGGAATGGTATAATTCTAATGTTCTTGAACTCATCAGACTCAGCATTGGGAAACTGACTCTTCGACAGCTTAGCTTTTAATTCATCATCTGCAGTAAATTCACTTTTAACAGCTATTTGTAGCCCCATAGAATTCACACGACCTCTTTTAGAAGCAATATTTTTCAAACCAGGCTTTGTATTTCCAGTTGTGAAAGCATCGGATTTAAGCAGCTCTTTAGCTGTAAGAAATCCACGATTTTCCTGATTGGAAAGGGGAATCTTTACTGGTGGTCTTGCTTTCAATCCACCATCCATAAGGATTTCGCTTTTAACACCTCGTTGCAGCAGATGATCTTCATTGCTAGTTATTGGCAAGTATGCCAGTTTACGTAAGAAATTACTAAATCGCAATTGATCCATAGCAAGCAAACCGCTCTTGTAGATCAATCAGTCATTAAAGAAAACATTCTAACTAAAAATCTTAAACAATTCATGAACAACAGATATTTAGTCATATTGTTGCTCAAGAAAGTGATGACTTTCAATAAAAAAACATTATTGCAATAAGGAAATCAATCCAATTGTTGGATGCATTCAAATTTTAGCACTGAAAATATGGTAATAATTCCAATTAGAGTAAGAATTATGTTTAATGTTAAACAAAAGATGAAGAATCATAATATACGCAATGTTCAGATCATTACAACATTAAAAATAGTTAAGTGATCCTTATACGAGTAAATATAAACTAAAAATATAAATGAAGGTATTTTATTTCAGATTTATGACATATTTCCGTAACATCTGTTTAATGCTTAGAGGCTACATATTTTCTAAAGGGAATTCCGGATATCTTGAGTCCGGTTACTTAAATTTTAATGTACTTTATATTTGAGATACTCATTAAAAATTAAACAGACGATCATAACATACTCTGAAATAAAAGTAAAGCTTTTGTTTCTGTTTCTTTGTAAGCTATAGAGGAATTGCCCTATAGATTGGTAATTAAAATAACAGTTTTGAAATGTGATCTAAATGTGATCCAATTTAAAATTTGTGCTTTAAAGATCTCAAGTTTAGTATTATATAGAAATACGAAAGATAAAAATCATATATTCAAGGTGTCAAATGTAAATTTTATACGTTTTTCTCTACACTATTTATAGATACTTCTATTTTAAAATTCTAATTTTAGAATTTTAAAATAAAATGCAGGAATTTGAAAGGTTTTTTGTAATGTAATGACGAATCTATTTCGTGAAAATTCGTTTCCGCAGTTAGAAACGAATTATTTGCTATGTATGCAGATATTATAAGAAGTAAAAATGAGTAAAAATAGGAAGCTTCCGTTGAAATTTTTATAGCTTCCTATTAAAATTATGCATTTTTAAAACACTTTTTGAAAAATACAAAAATAGGAAACTCGAATTTACATGTTAAATTTTAAAAATAAATTAGTCATGTAGAGACATTAGGTTACTTTTTAAAGCAGGAGAGATATAAAATGAGCGACGCCTTCGCAGGGAATCGAAGCACGGACCTCTGGAATACGCGCCCAGCGTGCAAACCACTACACCATGAAGGCACGGTAAGAAGGCGTGAGAAATAGCTTATATACTCTCCGCTTTTTAAAGGACGACTGGGGTTTAGGGGACCCAGTCACCAAATCCTGGATGTGGAGATGCGTGTGATTTAACTTCGGCTATCAAAATGGCTAATGACGGGTAACTAATGTAGCAGAGTTGGAGGAGAGAAAATTGCTACTGCGAATGTTGCTGCCAAAAGCTCTTATCTCTAAAACTTTCAGAAACCTTGACTTAAACAGCCATAACTTATTCAAACCCTATTGAGAATTAATGAAAACGAGAAAGGATAGTATATATATCCAAATCATTAAAAAAATAAAAAAAAAATAAATAAATAGGTTACTTGATGTAAACTCAACAACTTATAACATGCGTAGTTTTACTGAAAAATAAGTATTAAATGCTAACTGCTTAATGAATGTAGTTATTAATATTAGTACGAAATTTTGAAATAATTCTTTGAATAATAAATTCTTTGAATTTTGCCAAATGTTCTTGATTTAAAAATTTTTACATATAATTTTATCGTGTAAAATCTATTTTTTTTACTTTCTCCAGCCCGTAATTGTGAGGTGTCTGGATGGGGCCCCTGGTCCGAATGTAATACTGATTGTGGGACCGGGGTCATGACAAGGGAGCGTCATGTGATTCGTCCCGCCGCCAATGGAGGTGAGATATGCCCTGAACTTTCCCAGAAGAGAAGCTGCTACGGTACTCGTTGCGAGGAAAATATTCATGTCAAAGCGAACAGAGGTTTGAAAAAATTTTATGTTATCACTTATTGTTTTCCCAATCTTTTCTCTATTATTATTATTATTATTATTTTATCTCACGTTTTTATTAATGCTTCACATTTCAAAACTGTTTACAATTAATTCTTTCGTAAATGAAGTTTCCATTTTCCTTAATAATTGTGTCTATAGGAGACTGTTTTCTTTTAGTTTTTGCAATATGTTTATCTTTACTTTAGAAATATTCAGAAACTATTTATAATGAGAGTTATTTAATAAATTAACAGAATAAACCTATTCCTAATTTAGACATTACTATGTCAAAATTAGTTAGAGATTTCATGACGACTTCCTTCAATGAAATGCATTAAAAATAGAATTTAAATCATTTATGTGTTTGCTGCTGTTAATCTGCTGTAAAGAAAATGTAATAGGAACATTTATCGTATTTAAATCTTTTTTCTTAATATTGCCACTCATTGGGTAAGGCCGAATTATTCCGAGCATCGAGGTACACGTCAAATTCGTGGCAGAATAATTAGTTGACTGAATTTTTCTCATATAGTATAGATCTACATCTATTCGTCCATCCATGCGTCTGGCGGATACGAAAATCTCAAAATATAAGCCGGGGAAAAACGTTCGTCCTGCTACAGCCAAATTTTAAACATCTGCATTATTCTGGAACAGGGTTTCCCCAACTTTTTTTCTTGACCCAGTAAAAATGTTTATGCCATATTAATACATTAAATAAATATTAATGTTCAAATATCTTATCTTTATTGTGAAAGTAACAAAAATGCATACAAAAACGTAAAACAATAGCAAAGATTTATTCGGAAGTGTGATACTTTTTCTCGTTAACTAGAACTATCAAGAATCGTCTGCAGAAAAAGAAGACAACCTTATTCTTAAATCTGGTTGCATTTACATTACATTTAATGTAATATTTAATGTCTATTTCTACAGTGTCTCAAAAAAGTGATGGGACACTTGTGCTTTACAAAAGGAAACTGCAATAAAATAAATTTTAAAAACATGTAAAATTTTTTGTGGGTGTGTTTCATACTTAAATTTAGTAACAATTATTACATAACATACATTTTCTCAAAATATTAAAATATTAATTTAATAAAAATACAATTGTTTAGAACGGAACAGAAAATGGGCTCACTTAAGTGATGGGACACTTACTTTTCCATCAAATATTTATCCAAAAATTTTACTTTTTAAAAGTTTTTTAATATTTTGTCGGATTTCCTTTTACTTTTTTTTAAAACATGATTTAATCTTCTGGGTATGGATTCGACTAATTTTTTTTGTGATTTCTGGAGTGGTTTTACCCCATTCTTCTTGAAGCAAACCGATTTTAATTGTTGTTTTGAAGAAATAGTGTGTTTTGCGAATTCTTGATTCCAATTCTTGCCAAATATTCTCTATGGGATTTAATTGTGGAGATTGTGGGGGGTGTTTTTTTATTATTTCATGGACAGTTATACAGCAGCCAGAGTCTAACGTTCAAAGCACTGTGCTTGGGTCCATTGTCCTGGTAGAATTTAAAATCGTTATGAAGGTTCAATTTTTCGTGTGCTAAGATTTCAAATTTTAATTTAAAATGTCAATATACTTGTACTGATCCATTATACTGTCAATAAGAACAAGATTACCAACTCCAGCGGAAGACATACACCCACATACCATAACTCTTCCTCCACCATGTTTTTCACTGTTGGCACCAAGTTCTGTTTTGGCGAAATTTCTTCCCTGGGTTTTCTCCACACCAAGATTCTACCGTCAGAACCAAATATATTAAATTTACTCTCTCATCACAATATAAACTCATTCCAGTAAAATTCTTATTTATGTTGGATTTTGCGAAAGCCAGTCTGAGTTTTCTATTCTTTTCACTTACGAAGATTTTTTCCTGGCTTTCCCTCTGCTCTACCGTGATATCCAGTAGATCGAATTACTCTTCTAATAGTTTCAAAATTAACAATTACTCCATATAATGCTTGTAAATCAGCAGCAACTTTAGGAGCACTCATTCTTTGATTTTTTTTAAATATTTCGAACGATAATTCGCTTTATTCCATCGGATAGCTTTGATGGTTGGCCAGGTCTTCTTTTATCCTGAATCATATGATTCTTTTTATATCGTTTAATGATATTGAAAACTGTTGAATGACTAAAATTAGCTGTTTCAGTAGTTTCTCTAATAGATTTTCCACGTTCAATATGCAAATTAATAACTAATTTTCGAATTCCAGGCAAAGTTTCTTTTCGTTTAGCATTCATGGCTGCACAGAGCTAAAACACACAAAAATTCCAAAACAAACTGGAGAGAAATACTGGCAGACGAGTTTTTTAAATTATTGCCAATTGCTTTTGAGTAAAAATAAATAGCCCAAAAGATATTTTATTGCTTACTTCAGACGATTTTTTGTTGCATAGTAACGTAGTGTCTCATCACTTAAGTGAGCCATTTCTGCTCCGTTCTAAACAATTGTATTTTTATTAAATTAATATTTTAATATTTTAAGAAAATGTATGTTATGTAATAATTGTTTACAAATTTAAGTATGAAACACTCCCACAAAAAATGTTTACATGTTTTTTTAAATTTATTTTATTACAGTTTCCTTTTGTAAAGCACAAGTGTCCCATCACTTTTTTGAGACACTGTATTTGTATTCATTGTATCTTTTGTGTCAATATGCCATTACTTACTGGCAATGGGTGATTAGCATTTACCTTATGAATTATGCACAAGCTCAGCAGCTTACGTTTTCTCCTTCTCTCAGTTTTAGTATTCTAAATTCAGTTAAAAAATTATTGATATTTCATCATTATTTTTAAGATAACTGTTCTAATTTATTCGTAGAATTTAATTCGTAATTTTCAATTTAATTTGATTAGGGTTAGAGTCTCGCACTCAGGCACCCTGTTTGACATCGTTAAACTTGACGTCATTCCATAGAGCGCGTGTGCATGCTCCAATATGCGCCGTGGACGTTTGGAGCATCTTCCTATGTAAATATATGCAAACACCGATGTTCATGTTCCCAATAATTCCCCCCCCTTGCACTGGATGTGATGCAATACTTTTCTTCCGCATTTCTTTCGAAAACTGAGGATGGTACCGTTACAGTTCTTTAGGCATTTTTTATGGAATTCAATCTCGCTGTGCAGAGTTTGGGTGATCTTGATGGGACACTCTGAGAATACTCTCAGAAAAGTGTTTTTTCTTTTGTACATATAATGGATAACACTTCATGCAGCCGTTTGTTAATGCCATTCTCGGAACGTCGAATTCTCGGATTGACTGAATGCCACATAATTATTTATTGTTAGTGTCATCAACAACGATTGTCCCTGTCTGGACATCATTTAATTTGTTATCGGTAATAACAGGCACATTATTTTTTGGTTGCTTTATTAACCCTTTATCCATTGATATAATATTATAATTAATAGTAAATAAGTACAAAAAATGTATGCAATATCTGAACTAATAAGTAACAAATAATCACTAAGAGTGAGAAAAAGGCTGTGCCACCGCCAAAAGTTGACTGGAATACGACAGCAATATTTTCCCGCTTTAGTCTAGACTTGGTGTCTTCGCTCTCATACAAAAACATTGGTTGAGTTTGCTGCCGTACTGCATTCAGATCTAATTAAATTTCGGTGGCGCGGCAGATAGCGTTAAAATAAGAACTAAAATAAGGAATAAAGCTCGATAAATTTCAGTATTATGTGCCATCTGTGAATACACTAAATTACTAAATTTCGACTTCATCTGTCGACAAACCATAATATAGCTTCTTGTTACTGTAAAATGTAAGATGAGTAACTCAGTTAAGTTTATCTGCGACAGAAAGATTTGCTTTCGTGAACCAGTACTAAGTCACGACCCAGCATTTGCGAAACTCTGGAAAACTATAAAGCACGATACATCACATCATGCAACAACTTTCCAGTCGTGCACAGTTTAAGGGTGGCACATAAATTTAAACAGCACTTCACATGTAGTGCTGAGTTTCTTATATACACTCATGTCCATAAATTAATTATAATGCAAAATCAGGCAAAGGAAGCGTTAGAAGCAAAACAAATTTGACTTATTTGTAAAGCTTATTTATTAAACAAAAGGTAAAGAGCAAAAAAAGATGCTATATGTTTGATATTATTAAAAAAAATTAGCGATTTTTTTTCTCCCTGGAGCAAATTAAAAAAAAAAAAAAAACCTATTTACAAAAAACCAATATTACATGGTTGGTATGATTGTTAATACGTTGTATGTCTCCCAGACGATGCAATGCAGTCCGTACAATGCCTAGGCATGCTGAGTATCAAATTATCGATCTGATCTTGAGGGATATTACCCCCACTCAAAAAGCAATGCTCTCCGAAGTTCCGGTAGACATGTAGGAGGAGTTTGACGGGCTGCAACTCGTCGGCAAAGCATGTCCCACACGTGCTCTACTGGATTCAAGTCCGGTGAGAATGCTGGCCAGTCCATACGGGTGATATCCTCTGACTGAAGGCATTCGCTTACGATGTTTCCACGGTGAGGACGGGCGTTGTCATCCATAAACACAAATTGTGCGCGCCCATGGCGCCCCGAAACAAATGTACATGTTGTTTCCAGAATGATGTCCCGATAGATTTGGCTTGTCATGGTTCCAATTTGAAGCATGCAGGTCAGTTCTGGAACCCAGAATAATTCCACCTTAAACGAGCACTCCTACCTGCACACCGTAACCGTAACGGTGTCGTTCAATGATGTTTTCTTGGTGGTAACGGGTACCTGGAGCTCTTCATATGAAAGTACGGCGAGAATCAGACTGCAAGCTAAACCTGGACTCGTCGGAAAACATCACACAAGCCCACTGTTGCGGTATCCACAATGCATGCTCTCTACTCCAGGCTAACCGCAGACGACAGTGAGTTGCAGTAAGTGGAACGCATCTGACAGGTCGACGAGCATATAGACCAATTTGTACTAAGCGTCTGTACACGGTCTGCCTCGAAATTGTCGTACCAGTGGCTGAAGAGAGCTGACCAGACAGGTCTGAGGCTGTGCTCCGCCTGTTTCTTTTGGCAGTAACTGCCAAATACCGGTCTTGATTCGGCGTTGTAATTCTGGGGCGACCTGTGCTGTAACGTCTGCTCACATTACCATCATCTTGGAATCGTTGCCGAAGCCTGAAGGTGACACTCTGGGCAATTCCAAGTTCGTCTGATACTTCCAGTTGGGTACGCCCACATTCCAGACGGCCGATAATTCTACCACGTAAAAAATCATCCAAATGCATGCTTTGTGTCATAACTATTCGGTTATTGCACTGAAATGCTTATAAAGCGCCTGTGAACAATTTTACTTCTTTGCCTGTATTCCTTATATATCACTCTCTTACACTCTCGTCATTGTGACGTACCACCGGTGTCATCTGGTTATTTCCTGAAATTTGCATATGATTCTTGAAGATGTGTGTAGTGATTTTACAGGTGATATATTTATTTTAGAGTTCGATTTTCGCGTAACTCCGAATTATCTTTAATTTATGGACATGAGTGTATATTACAAATCCTTGAAGATAGGTACTGAGCAACAGCAAGTATTTCTTGAATTAGCAAAAGAATGGGGGTTTACTGTTTGTTAACAAGTGTCTTCTACTTATTTCTCAAAGTTATGATCCATCATCTCAAAGTTATGATTCATCTTGAACCTCTTTTGTTTTAGTATGCATAGTCCTGCTTACATCTCTTCACAATATCATTTGCAGTTGATTTTAGTTTGTTAACTTTAGCAGCAATGCACTATTTGTAGATAATCTGCGTGATATCCTAAAAAGGAATGGCCACTTTTAAAATGGGCTAACAAGTAAACAGTGACAATTGTTAAAGTTATTCTTACATGGAAATTTAAGGGTGATGTTAGGAATTTTTTTAGTATTCTTTCTTATATTATTACCGAATGACACTAACAGATGGCTTGGAAATGTTTCCATACAAAATCCAGTTGCGGCAACCATTTAAAATGGAATAAAGGAAAAAAACATTAATTTTTGGGGAAAAGAAATGCTGCAGTTGTTTGAGAAGGGCAATACTAATGTTAATCTTATGCGGTTTTCTAAAGTACAGTTTCATCTGGAATCATTATCAATAAACAAAACTGGCAGATAAGGGAAATATAGAGTCCTCGTATGTTCATTCCATGATCACCGTATGCACAAAAAATTATTCTATGAGCAACTTTATATAGTAGAGACATTATTAGACTCTTTTTTTTTTTTTTTTTTTTCTATGAGAATTCAAATATTGCACGAAATGTTACCTTCCTTTTGATTCTTTGGACGATTCATCTAAAACAACCTGGTTCGTGCAAGAAGGTGAGAGACCTTATTAAGAATGACGAGGTTTCGTACTTTCCTGGAGCAATATTTTGACAGCTGAGTTATTGCATTGCAGTGCTTTCATGCAACCAACAAGGGCTTGGAATGGCTCTTTGTCTTCGCTGTATCATTTCAATAAGTATGATTCCTTTGGCCCAACTTAAAATTTGAGCTGCTTCAACAGGATCCCACTACGATTGAGAAAATGGAAGAAACCATTGATCTCGAATGCCAAGACATTCAAGTCGTGATGTTGCGGAACGTACCTACTAATTTTGTACTTTGTTTACCAGTGATTGCTTCTATTTTCAAGCTTTTTGAGAGCATTTTGTTGTAATTTTCCCAAAGTATTCCAGTTATTGTCGATTTTAAAAAGAGGAAGCGTTAACTGTTGGTCGCGTTTAATGCTACACAGTGAAACCTGGATCTGCTTGTAAATATAAGATTTAATTTAAATTGCTTCTAATTACAATACCAAATTATAACAGAAGTTGAAAGGTTTGCCGATGGCCGTTAACAGTGACTCAGAATTCTAAACTTGCGAAACCATGTCTATCTTGCGAATGTCAGCTTAACGTGAAACAGTAGTTACTCGCCCAAAGACAAATTAAGCAATAAGTAGTCAGCCTTAAAACCAAAATTTCCACATGTAGTTACAATTTATTCCTCTGACTTTACCGAAAAACTGCTTACCATTCAAATCTGCATAAATTCTGCAATGAATGAACTTAAAGGCGAAATGAGGTAAAAAGAAAGATTAAATTAAAATAAAACTTCTTTGTTAAACTCAAACACAATGTCACAGTGGAAGTGTCCTAACGCTGTTTGATCAGAATCTGGTTACCACATAGGCTCACAAAGCCCAAGTCCAAGGTTGCAGTTTTAAAGAGACCAATAAAATCATACTGTAATTTTCCGTAATCCTGTTTGTCCTCCGAAAAATAAGTAAAGTGGCCTTTTCTGGCATCTTGAAGGAATCTTGCACTCAGGATACAAGTTTACCTGCCTTCGACATCAAAAAAGCGTGCCCGGATTGTAAAGATTTTTTCTTTATAATTATTTAACTAAGACTTGAGTTTAAAGTGTGGTGAATTATTGTAAATTTTGTTATGGGGATGTGGATTAAGGATAAAGTTGACTATCAAACTACCAGTGGCGTAGCGAGGGGGGCAAGGGGGTGTATGATGCCCCGGGCGCTGCTCGCAGAAAGGCGCCAAATGGTCTGCAAACAAGATTTTCATCATATCACGGTATTTTTTTCGGAAGAGGGGGGGGCGCCAAAAAGGTCTTTTGCCCCGGGCGCCAGTTGTGCTCGCTACGCCACTGGAAACTACCAAGTAAGAAGATAACTTCCGTTCGAACATCTCTTAGCATTTTAAAATTTGAATTCTTTCAATTTGCTTAACATTTTCTGAATGGCATGTATTTGTAAGTCGAATCTTTTTTCTACATAACTCTGAATAGCGCATAGGAAAAAATTATTTTCTAACGGAAGTTTGACCGTCGAAATTCCATTTCCAAAATTCTGCTATTATACAAAGATTCTTAGAAATATTCAAAATATTTTGTATTATTATGTACTTTCTTACACCAGAAGATGTATATTTTTTGCTTAATGCTTTACATAAGACTAATTTTAAGGTTATAGTTTAAAATAAATAGTTGTTGCTAATATTCTGTTTCGCGACTTCCCACCTAGTCGAATCGAAGATTTGCCACTTCTTTATTCTAAACTAAATTGAAAATTTATCTTATTTATATGATTAATTTTTTTTATCTATGACCAATTTAAAAATATTTCTTCTTTATAATCCTTACCCTTGATTTTAGAAATAAATTCGGTTTAGTAAGATTTTAAAAAGCAATTTCTCCTTCCTTTCCAGAAACTGCTATGATACTTTCTGCAACGTATTCTACGATCAGGCATTTGAATGAAAGCAAAGATATTCGCAATAATCTGCGAATAAAATACAGAAAAGACCCTGAAGTAGAAAAAAGTAAAGAGTAAGTATATTCTTTAAACAAAATGAAAGTGAATGTCAGAATGCAGAAGAAAATAATTAAGTTGGAAAATACTATGCGTTATGTAACCAAAATAATTAATTAAAGTACATTCAAACCTGTTTTTGTACGTGGATAGGGACCGCATAAAAGAAAATGTATAAAAAATTTCTTAAATTTCATAAGTAGCTACACTGAAGAGCCAAAACTTTATGACCACCTACTCAGTAACGGATTGCGGGATCTTTGGCCTGCAAAATAGCTGCAACTCGCCAAGAACTTGTGGCATCCATGCCACGAATTCTTGGTAGATAATTAGACACTGTTTGCAACAAATGTCTAAGCAGCGGTAACACAAAATCGAGATATTCCGACATGGCGGTATTTCAACTCTAAGCTACCGCTTCGTGACGTGCCAAATATGCTCTGTCGGTTTAAGATCCGGTGAGTTAGGCGGCGAATACATTAACCGAAATTCATCTTTATGTTTCTCGACCCACTGCAACACAGTTAGAGCCTTGTGACATGAGGCGTTGTCCTGCTGGAAGGTTCCCTTTCCAGTTGGGAAGATAGAAGCCATGTAAGGATGCAACTGATACATAGTTATGTTCAGATAGTCCGCAGCTTTCATGTTCTAACCGCAACTAAAGGTCCATATCTAAGGAAACCAGAGCCGCCCATGAGAACGTCCCTCAAAACATAATACCGCCACCATCAGCCTGTGTATGACCTGCTATAGGGGGAGCAACTATTCACCTGGAAGATGGCGTACCCTGACACGAACATCGACGTGATTCATCCATCTGAGACAACTGTCTCATATTTATCCATGGTCCAGTCTTGATGTTCCAGGGCCCACTGTAGGCGTAGTTGAACGACTCTTGGTCAACAGAGGCACACGAGTCTGCTGCGCAGTCCCATATTCAACAGTGTCCGCTGAACTGTGTGTTCCGAAACACTTACACTTGGATCTGCACTGCATGTCAGCCGAGCCATTGTCTGGCGCCGATTTTGCTGTAGCAAGCGGGGCAGTCTCCGACGTCTTTTTTCTTTGATGACGCGAGGACATCCAATAGTTTAGCGTCTACTGCTGACTGCAAGTTTACCACTGTCATTTATCCACTTTGCTTAAATACGAGTAACGGCAGATCGTGGACAACATACCAGTCGTGCAGTTTCAGAGATACTCGTTTCGAGTCTTTGGGATATTATAATCTGGCGTCTATGAAATTCGCTTAGATCAGCAGCCTTTCCCATCACTCTCAAAACAAAAGTATGTGCAAGAATGATTCGTCACCTTCTCCAACAGCAGTTAACCACGTTCCCACTTAATCACGTAAGTAACCACACATCATCCAGATGAGTTTATTGAAAAATGTGGGGATAGTCATAATGCTTTGGGCTCGTCAGTGCCATTATTTGCAATTCATTCTAAAATAAAAATCATGCTGTAAATAGGAAACGCATAAAAATGTCCAACGTACAAAATACCTCACGATGTAGCTAGAAATCGGTTTTACAAACAAGGCAAAAATTAATTTACACTCAAGAACATTTTAAAACGTTTTGTTTATACGTTGAATGTTACATATACGAAAATTTCAAACCGTGCGTGTAAAAATTATTCTTCGTGGCCAACAACGCGAATTTTCTTCAAGTGACTTTCGTCACTTGAAGAAAATTCGTCACTTGAAAATTTTAGATGCTTTTGTCACAAAAAGGCAGAACACTGAAAACGCGGAAGGCTAACTAAATATGACTGACTTAGAATTTTATTTGTTTTTTTAAGAATATTCGTTTTGTTATTTATATTTTGTTTTTATTTTTGCAAGAAATAATAATGTGGTATTAATTTGGGCTTTAAGAAATAAATGTTTGGTTTTATTTTTATTAAAAAAACATACTTTTTAAATTTAATACCTAACCAATTTCCTAGCCATCTTCCCCTAACCCCAATATTTACATGTAAAGATAGCCTCGTTTAGCGCTGTTTCGCATTACGCTCTACTTTGATGGAACGTATCCCCCGCGTTAAGCGGGGTGTACTGTACTGTACGAGTGTTCAGCGACTTAACCGCTCGGCCGCCGGTGGGGCGCCTATGCCGCAGGGAGTTTCACGCGTTCGCTTATTCGATTTTGATAGAGAACTGAAGGCTTACTAGTCACTCTTACTAGTCGAGAAAAAGTATGAAATGTACCAACTTTGCCTTTATTTATCTGATAATTTCAATTAATATTCCCTTGATTGAGAAAAGAGATATTATGTATATCTCTTAAAACAAAAGCAATAAACAGTATGCAACCCTTCATGCTGCTCCGCGCAGAACTCTGCCGCTTTCAAACGAATATTCAGATGAGATTTCAATGTGTCTTTAGAAATAGGCAGGGGAGGGTGAAGAGCCTTTACATTTGGTAAAATTTATGCTTCAAATTCCACGTACTTTAATAGGTGTGGCAGTGATCATCTAAATCTGGGCTGTTATACGACCAGCGAAAAATATATTAAATCACTTAGCTCGCTTTTTATGGCTTATGCCGAGGCTGCACTACCAGAAAAGGAAGGTTTCATCGTTACGCCGTTGTGCACCAGGATCGATTGTCAAGACTGACCTAGATTATTTGTAAGCAATAAACGAAACTTAGAATTCTAATCTTTTCCGCATGGCAGAATGACGAGTCAAAAATAAGTCTTGACATATTTTCATCCCCTTTTTTATGCTATTTATAAACATCTTTCTTTCTTTTCTTTTTCTTTAAGGGAAACATTTTATCAATAAATAGTTTTTTGTATTCAAGTTTTCAAATAGGTGGATCAAGTTAATCATGGGCTGCAATGGTATTAGAACTCAAAAAATGAAGTTTTTAGTTTGGTTTTGAAATGCGGTAATTACACATTTAATTAGTGGATTGTGGAGTTAAGTATTAATAAAAGGCTTCATATGAGTTCTACTGCTATGAAGCCTAAATAATCATTAAAATTTTTATATAATTAACAATATTTAATAATAAATTAAATCGAATTGTGCAATTGTTGTCACCTTTTTGTTGAACAGTACTGAAAGTTTATGAGTCATAATAATGAAAAGCAATTCAGATGTAAGATATTTAGTTTTATAACTAATGTTACCACATTATGGCATGTACTACAAAATTATAAAATGGCATTCGTAATGTTTTAGTGTTTTAGTTCGGTTAATCAAAATGCCAATGAAAGTGAACCATTTCTTTATATTTACATAAGCTTCAAAATAGAACCGTCTTTTATGATTCAACTTTTAGATTGGTTTAAAATGCTGAATAACAAATTCGTATAACATTGTTAGTGATTAAACTTAGTAGATTATCAGATTTCTTCTCAGATATTGCAAGAGGTTTTTCGTAAGCTTTTTCTGGTGTTGCTTCGGAAAGACTGCAGAATTTTCCTGCGAATATATGTTTCCACAATAACAGTTTTAAAATTTGTTTTTTTTTAAAAAAATTCTTATTGAAGTAAACCAATGAATGTTTTTCTACTTTCATTACAGATATGTTGTTGAAGTGTACAGTTTCATTGCTAGTATTGAAGACAAACTTTAGAACTTGTCTAATATGTGAAATCCTTTACATCTGACACAAATTGAGACAGTCAGTAGTGTAGCTAATGCATGCCAGAAACCAAAGAATAAAACAGAGACAGTATTGTCATCTGTAGGCATTGAATTAAAATATGTGCCAGTGCTGCTGCCACAAAGAAGACAACTTTGTAATGCTGGGAACGGCCATAACTCAAAATCCCTGTTATGACAGTATCGCAGAGCATCAAAAATGTTTCTTTTATTGCTGATGATGTATCACAAACAGGGATTTAATAGGCGCGTCATTTTGAATGTAATGAACAGTAGTGAAAATCCTGGCTGGTCAGAGAGTTAATAGACTAGTTCTTGTGTTGATGCTTTTTTGTTACAGATGTTGGTACATTAAAAAGCGGAACATTTAACAGTTCCCTCCCCAATTCAGTTACGTCTCTAGAATAAACACCGTACATGATCAATCAGATTTTTTTTTCACCTCGCAGTAAAAATAATATGGGCCAACTAATACAGATACAGAAGGTCGTGAAAGCTTCCCACGAATAGATGTGAATGAGGGGGGGGGAGGGAACTAATTCCTTAATCTAACAGTTAAACGGAATTTCTTTTAATTCCAAATTGATGGGTTACACTTTTTTTAATATCTTGCCAAAGAAATCGTCAATAATAAAATGGAAATAAAAGACTGTTGCCATTCATTAAATGGTGAATCATTTCCACTTATAAAAATTTACCATTGGTACAACAACGAAGAGAGCTTATAAAATAAAATATGCAGCTATAAATTTTCATGAAATTCATTTGCAACAGTAATAATTTAGGTATTCGATTTTTAGCAGAGTCTGAACATTATTTTGAAAATGACGTTCAAGTATGAAAAACAGTAGGAAGGAAAAAAAATAAAAAAAATCTTGCAATCATCTATAAAACAGCATATGTGATTATAATTTGCATGTCGCTGTCAAATTTTATAACTATCAAACTTTTAAAAAATTTTTGTGAACTAGTAGTGTTGTGGAATCTAGTCTTCTTAGCAATGTAACAATTCTACTTTAATTAAACTTAGGAGATAATATAATCAATTAATCAATACGGTTTAGGAAATAAATTATTATATCTACTTAAAGATGTATGCTGCGAATTCTCGAAAAGACTGGAAGATGAATACAACAAGCGAAGGGTGTGAAAGACACTTTTATTCAACACAATACAATAGTTTACAGATGGCACGGACTTACGTGCTTACATAATCACTAACTCCTGTAAGAAGGAACTTAAAAAGGTAATGTAACAACCAAATTCGAAGGTAAAGAGTAGTTCAGAACACACAATTCGATTTAACCTAGCAAGTTGACTCACAAACCTACACAGGCAGGATAATAATTTTGGTGGTACGAATGCAAAGCCTAAATTCAAAGTTAACAGCTGGCAGAA